GCTGCTTGGGAGGAAGACGCAGGACATGCTGCTGCTGTTGCTGCTTCTGTTGCTGCTGCTGCTGCTCCTTCTGCTCCTCCTCCTCCCTCTGGTGCTGAGACAGAGGCCTCACTGCCTCCTGCTTCTGCTGCTGCTGCTGCTTCTGCTGCTGCTGCAGCGAGCTTTTCTTGTCGGTAGGCGCACCAGGCAGCAATTCGCTGCTCTTCTGCTGCAGTGAGTGGCGGGACCCTTGTTGCTGCTGCTTCTTCTTCTTCTGCTGCTGCTGCTGCTGCTGCTTCTGCTGCTGCTGCTGGTTCTGCTGCTGGTTCTGCTGCTGGTTCTGTTGCTGCTGCTGTTGCTGCAGCAGGGGCGTTGTTGGTGAGTTGCAGGAATGGGGTGTGTGCAGCCCGTCTAGCAGCAGCAACATCAGCAGCAGCAGCAGCAGCAGCAGCAGCAGCAACAGCAGCAGGAGGGGGAGGAGGGGGAGGAGGAGGAGGCAGCAAAGTAGCAGCAGCACTTCTGTCTAGAAGCACCAGCTGCAGCAGCGTAGAGGTGCTTCGAAGCAGCAGATGTCCTAAGGCATTGAGGAGAGCAGCATTTGCTGCTCCGTGCTGCAGCAGCACAGCAACACTTGCTGTTGATGGAAGCAGCGACAAGAGCCAGCAGCAAAAAGATATGCATCCACCGCCATGCATATTAGACACCCCAACATCCAGCAGCAGCCCTCCTTGAACTGCTCTTGAATAATATTCAGCTGCTTGATTAATGTTTATCCCTGCTGCTGCTGCTATTGCTGCTGCTGCTGCTGCTGCTGTAGACGTATACGCACCACTGCCTCCTCCTAACCCTCCTGCTCCTGCTGCTCCTGCTGCTCCTCCTGCTCCTCCTCCTGCTGCTGCTGCTCTTCCTGCTGCTGCTGGTATTATTGCTGTTGAGCCTCCTCCTGCTGTTGCTGCTGCTGCTGCTGCTGTTGCTGCTGCTCCTGCTGCTGTTGGTGCTGGGAAAACGCCACCTCCCTCACGCCCTCTTGCTGCTGCTGCTGCTGCTGTTGCTGCTGCTGCTGTGTTGGCTGCGGGGACACCAGCTGACCCTCGCGCAGCAGCAGGAGCAGCAGAAGGAGTAGCAGCTGCTGCAGCAGCATCAGCAGGAAGAGCACCGCTCATTGCGCTTGTTGCTGCATGCTGGATTTGGTGCTGCTGTTGCATTTGCTGCTGCTGCTGCATTTGCTGCTGCTGCTGCATTTGCTGCTGCTGCTGCTGCACATGCTGCTGCTGCCTGCGAGCGAGAGAAGAGAGCCGCAGCGGCAGCAGCACTCTGTAGCATCTGCTGTTGTATATACTCCTCCACCTACGACAGACAGACGGTAGCAGCAAATTATTTCTATCTGCTGCTCTGTCTCCTGTTAGCAAAGCAAATATGCCAGCCATCAGGTGTATAGGCATCTCTTCAATAGGGCTTCTGCGACGCAAAACACCTGCAGCAGCACCTCTTGCTGCTGCATTTGCTGCTGCTGCTGCTGCTCCTGCTCCTGCTCCTGCTGTACCTGCTGTTGCATTTGCTGCTGCTGCTGCGCCTCCTCCTCCTCCTCCTGCACCTCGTGCTGCACCTGCTGCTGCTGCATTTGCTGCTGCTGCATTTGCTGTTGCTGCTGGGAGGCGTTCGGGGGGAACAGCTGCTGACCCGTGTGGTGCTGACCTTGCAAGCGGGACAGCAGCAGCAGGAGCAGCAGCAGCAGGACCTGCTGCTGCTGCTGCTGCACTTCGCTCCTCCCTGTCTGGCTGCGGCCGTCGTCGCCGCATCACTGAAACGGGAAGCTGCAGCAGCAACAGCAGCAGCAGCAGCTGGATGAGGCTGTTCTTAGCTGCTGCTGTTGCTGTTGCTGCTTCTACTGAGGACCTGAATGAGGTTGAGGTGCTTGATCGCTTGCAGTTTGCATGCGCGGTGCTGCACCTACTGCTGCTGCTGCTGCTGCTGCTGTTGCTGCTGCTGCGTGGGACCTGACGACAGCAGCAGCAGCAGCAGCAGCAGCAGCAGCAAGTACCTCAGTGAACTGTCACGTGCGAAGATGCTCGAGTTGTCAGGAGAGAGTGGTTGCTGTTGCTGCTGATGCTGATGCTGTTGCTGCTGCTGCTGATGCTGCTGCTGCAGGCGTTGCTGCTGCTGCTGCTGCTGCTGCTGCTGCTGCTGCTGCAGCTACTGGACTGCGTAGAGCCAGGGGCTGGGCCCCTCAAAGGAAATAAGTTTGTTGCAGTGTACAGACAGCAAAGAAGAAGAAGCTCTCGTTCGGGGTGGTTGAGGTGTATGTACAGCTGAGGAGCTTGTGCTGCAGCTGCGTCTGCTTCTTCACTGTTGCCGCTTAAATGCTGCAGCAACACTCAAGCCAGCAGCAGCAGCTGCAGCAGCAGCAGCTGCTGCTGCTGCAGCAGCGGCAGGGAGAGAACAACTGGCCAGCTACTGCTGCTGCTGCTGCTGCTGAAAGGCAAGGCAAACCTGTGGCGATATAACAACTGCAGCAGCAGCTACTGCTGCTGCTGCTGCTGCAGCTTCTTTTGCTGCTGCAGACAGAATGGGTCAGCAAGAAAGTATTTATAGACAATAAAAAACACGAGTAAACCGGTGGTTTGCTGCTGCTTTAGGCCTGTCTGTCCTGGCTGCTGCTGCTGCTGCTGCTGCTCATGCTGCTGCTGCTGCTGCTGCTGCTGCTGCTGCTCGCACAGGTCACGTCCTCGGCGGTGCTGCTGCTGCTGCTGCTGCTGCAGCGGGGCTGTAGCAACTCCTGAAGCAGCAAAGTTAATGAAATTTAATTAATAAAAAAATAAACAACTTTTTGTCAGAATATTTCAATGTGACAGCAGCAGCAGCAGCACCAGCAGCAGCTGCTGTTGCTGCTGCTGCTGCTGCTGCTGCTGCTGCAGCAACACCACCCAGAGCAGCTGCTGCTCGCAGCGCATAACTTTTGCTTCTTTTCCTGCTGCTGTATAAAACGGAAGTATAAAATATTTATAAATAACAAAAAACCTTCATTATAAACCCTTAACCCTAAACCCTAAACCCTACTGAACCCTACTAAACCCTAAACCCTAAACCCTAAACCCTAAACCCTAACGAACCAATGAATGCGAGTAGCAAACCCTAATAGCAAACTCTACTAATAAACCCTAATACTAAACCCCTGTAGTAACAAACCCTAATAATAACAAACCCTAATAATAACAAACCCTAAACCCTAAACCCTAAACCCTACTAACCCTTACAATAAACCCCCGTTCAATAACAAACCCTAAACCCTAATAAACCCTTATACAAAACTTTCTTAATAAACCCTAATACTAAGCATCCTTCATCCCTGTACAATATATAAATAAATAAATAAATATCAATATAGTATATATATAATATAAATGAAGTATATACTATATATAAATAAACACAAATATATATATATATATATATATATATACTTCAATCGACAAACAGAAGACAACAACAAAAACCGCTGCATGCATCCACTAACCTCTCCGCACTGCAGCTCAGCAGCAGCAGCAGCAGCAGCAAAAGCAGCAGCAGATATATATCTATTTGTTTTGTTGTAGCCAGCACCGAACTCCTTGAAGCAGCACTTTAATATCTTCTTCTGTTGCTGCTGTTGCTGTTATACACCCTAAACCCTAAACCCTAAACCCTAAACCCTCGGTCTCGTGTCTACAACTGAAGCAGCCCCTGCTCGCTTCTGTAAGAAGTTTACTGCTGCACTCCTTATTAAAATACTTCCTGCTGCAGCTGCTGCAGTCTCAACCACTTGCTGCTGCTGCTGCAACTACTACTACCTTTTGCTGCTGTTGCTGCTGCTTCTCTACTTTCTGCTGCTGCAGTTACAACTGCCTACTCTGCAGATTCTGCTGCTGCAGCTACAGCAGCAGCTGCTATCCCTCCAAAACCTCTAGCTGCTGCTGCTGTAGCAGCAGCAGCAAAAGCAGCAGCAGCAACAGCAGCAAGAAAACAACAGCAGCAATGTCTTTGTTTCTCTGTGCAGCACTTAACAAAAGAAGGTCTGGGTAATGCTTCAATAGAAAGGAGAACGAAATTATAATTAACTGCGTCTTCACATTGTTTAAGTGTATATACACCATCATTAATTAATTAATTAATTAACTGCATTGTTGCGGTGTATATGCACCTCAGATTTCTCTGCGTGCAGCACATTATATATTTCTTTTTATTTATATACATTTATATTTATCTATATTTACCTATTTATTTATTTATTTATTTATTTTATTTATTTATTTATTTATTTTATTTTATTTATTTTCTGATTCTCCTTTCTTTAGCCTTCAGCCTTCCTCCACAGCAACAGCAGCTGCTGCAGCAACAGCAGCTGCTGCAGCAACAGCTGCTGCTGCAGCAACAGCAGCTGCTGCAGCAACAGCAGCTGCTGCAGCAACAGCAGCAGTGGAGGAAAAGCAAGAAGCAAAAGCCACCCCCTCCAGCAGCAAAAGAGAGATGCTGCTGCAGCAGAGATATGAGAGAAGCTGCTGCCTGTAAAGAAATAACATAGCCCTAACAATGCACGTGCATGCATAATAATTATATTATTATTATTATTATTATTATATAATATGTATGATAATTATATATAATATTATACATATAATTATATATATAATATATAATAATATATAATATAATAAATATAATAAAAGAAAATCTCTTACATCAGCTGTGCATGCGGCTGCACCATCCAATCTTGTGAAGGCGATATATATATATATATATATTATATATTATATATATTATATATATATATATTATATATATAAACAAACAAACAAAAGACAGCAGCTAAATTATAAAGATAAACATAAAGATAAACATAAAGAAGAATGTAAAGAGCAAGAGAAATCTCTCTTAATACACGAGGCTCATACACAACAACAACCACACTCCTAATCCTGCTGCTGCTGCTGCTGCTGCTGCTGCTGCTGCTGCTGATTCAGCTGCTGCTGCTGTTGCCTCAGCTG